ACATAACCCTGATTAATATCGATTTGTGCATTACACAGTTTATATAATAAAATTAGTAATTTATATCACAAAAATCGTGCCTAAAGGCACTTTTACAATTTAAAAAAATCGTTCAAATTGAAATAGTTTTTCCTTTATTTACTTTAATTAAAGAAATTGAAATCAATATAATCCCTACTATTTTTTAAAAAAAATTTGACAAACTTTTCTTTGAAAATAGAAACCAAAAGAAATCTCAACCTGTTTACACTAACACCAATTGTAACACTGCTTAACACAAACCATTGCATAACTAATTTCAAGAATAAATTATTTAACTTAACTCAATGAGAATATCAAATTTTAGTCTTTACACAATTCAAACCAAAATAACCTTTATATCATAATAACAAAAGTCAAGAGTCATATGTTATACATGCAACCAAAGAAATAAATCCACATAAATAAGAATCCTTTGATTTGAACATTCCATATTTTGAAGTATCGGTCAATAATAAAATTACAACCCTTAGCAATAGAACAAAATCAAGTCAAAGAATTAACATTTAACATTTTTTCAAACACAAAACCAAAACAATATGCATATGTTAAGATATCTCAAAAAATACATCTACCAAAGAATACATCTACCTGGGAGAATTGATGAGTCTTTTCAGCCTTCCATGAGTCGGGAAAAACAAAAATCTATAATACATGAAACAATTTAAACCATCGTCAATGGAGTGACTAAATATTAATCCAAGTATCAAAATTTTAAGTGAACAAAAAAATTCATATTCAACTAAAACAATTCAAAATAGCAACATAAGCAAACACCAAAAAAGGTGATGTGTGAATTGAGATGAAATTCATGAAATTAAACATTCCCAACCAATCATTCATGATACCTTATCTACACCATTCGTAGTATATATAGAAATTCAATAGTATGTCATAGTGTCTATGTAAATAATCAAACCACCAACCATGCACCAAAGAAACCTATTCTCAACCAATCGATCCACTTCATGAAAATTCCCAAACAATAAAAATCATGGCCTCTTCAAACTCACCTTATTGCAAGAGTTCTTCTGTGGGCGTGAGTATGTGCATGAGAAAGAGAGGGATAGAGAAACAAAGAGCGAAACAGAGTAAGATATGGATTAAATAAATCAATAAGAGATTTTTTCAAATCATAATCCATCTGTCGGAACATTAATTCAAATAAATCCAAATCATTTATTATCCAACCGAAACCTCAGTCCTCAAAACACAAACCAATCAAAGAATGGTAATTATAAAAACAATTTCAAACCATGCTTCCTAAAAAACAAACTCACAATTTAATTTAAATTTACAATATCTGTCAAGAACAAAAAGTAACATTTGTATTTTGTAGAGTACATTAATTTGACGAACTCATGCAAAGTTCTTTGAATACCTTACCTCTGGTAATTTGGACCAAGAAGTAGAGTTGACTTGAGAACTTGAAACAATTCAACAACAAAAAAGGCAAAAAATTGGCAAAAAAAATCAAGATACAAATTCAAGAAAATGAAATAGAAAACAACCTAAACAAAATAGTAAACCAAGCATGGTACTTTGTTCTTTCCGTATAGAGCCCAAAATAGATTTTGCAACGGAAGGAACTTAAAGACACTTTCATATAAAAAAAAATTCATTCCAAACAATTAGGCAGCTATCAAGTAACATTGTTTGTCATTGCACCAAATAACTCTAAAATTCATTGTTCTATTTGCATGATCAATTGTTAGTTTAATAATATATTTTCAAAAATCAGTTTGTAAAAATTGAGCACCCCAAATAATTGATTTCACTATATCAAATTAAGACAACCACTTTTTTTTAAAAAAAAAAAGAAGAGAAAATCCATAACCAAAGACATTGTGCAACACAAAATCAAATACTAATCATGTAATACAAATATTTTCAATAACATACAAATATTAAGGTAGCAGTTTTTTTTTAATTTTTGTTAGTTACAACCATAATCAATTTAAAAAAATATGGACATAGTTTAATTTAAAAAAAAACACACACAAAAAAAATCAATTTGTGTCCATAATAACTAGTACAAATCAACTTATCATTAAAAAAACACATGAATTTAAAGAAAACACGACCCAATTTATTTATTGAATTCAATATCATGCCATAATTCTACTTTAATAAAATCATCTATCAACTACCGCGACAACTTAGTAATATCATCAAACAGACTATGTGCGCAATGAGTGTGGACTATGGTTTAGAAAGAAATAATTTTGTACAAAACAAAACAATAAAATTGAAATTAACTTCTAATAAAACAAAACAATAAAATTGTTATCGAATGAAATTGATGCTTCCTTCCTTATCAAGGTCACCAACAACACAGTCACCATTGCGTCCTTTCTCTAGGACCCATAGTTCATGTCCCCCCTTTCCTGCTGTAAAATGCACTGCGTTGATGGACCCATCAACCTGCAAAACATACACCTATCCTCCTCTTAATCAAGTAGTATTGTAAACCCTTAAAGCTTAGCACCAAAAAAATAAAATAAAAAAATTAAACTATGAAAATCAAGAATCAATAGTGCACCAATGTTCATTCAATCCAAATAACCATGTTGCCATATACCCCCAAATTCCACTTCACACTATACTCTACCACCCATCCGTCCAAACCCTTCACATAGGCTTAACTAAATAATCTAGAGTATTACTGGTTATATTGATCTTTTTCAAAATCTATACAGATTTTAGCAAGCACCCATAAACTTCCAAATAGGAATTGCCAACCCAATAAAACAAATTCTAGAAAATGGAAGCATATAAGAAATCATATAAACCCAATAAAAATATGGAAAAACAAAACTCGAACTAATTTGCAACCGAGCAAATTTAGAAAACAAAGATAAGTAGATTCCTTTCGCAGTGCAGGAAACTAACGGACATTACTATCATTAAAAACCAAGTATGTCAATAAGAAAAAGGGAACAACAATTGAAGGGCATATTTTTTTGTTTTTGAATTGAATGGAAGGTTAGATTGAAAATCCATAAAATCTGGAAAACACCATTCCGAATTGCACAAACAATGAATGACCACACCATTATAAATTGCCAGCTAACAAAAGTGGCAAAAAAGGATCACTTATAGGAAGTTAAAATTGAGCATTTTGGTTGAAGCAAATCATCAAATATGTGGGCATCATTTGTATAGTTAGGCATAAGGGATGCCTGATGGAGGGGTATGGTTGTGTGTGTTGATTGGATGAAAGGGGTGGGTGTATCTGTGTAGAGTTGCCACCATTTGAACTGCTCATCAAGGATAAAGCACAAATTAATGAATGAATGCATAAAAAGGTAAGAAGCATTTAGGTCTTATATACATAGGTAAAAGAAAGATATTTATTATATTCTTGAAAATCATCTGATGTAATTGTGAGTACATTTGCATGCCATATGCAAAAGGGCATCGTGCAATGCAGACAATGTGAAGCAAGCTCTATGCCATAGCTTGTAATATAGATAATATGAACACAGTAAGAAAGATAAGAAAAAAAAAAAGAAAAATATCTCGTAATGATGTCACAATTGTTACATGGCATATCTCTATGCTAATTGTTGGAAATGTCTATTTTCAATATCATGATAAAAAGGCTATGTAGTTTGAATATCCTTCTACCTGTAGAGCGTTTGCTATAATAAGCTCAATATTTTTCGTCCATCTCACTAATGGTTCATTATTAATTCAAAAATGAAAAAAAAAATGTGCATATAAGTAAAAGGAAATTCCTAGACAATTCCCCAATTCGTAAAATAAAAAGTGTGCATATAGTTTTCCAATCCATAAAGAAAATGTAAAAAAAAAAAATATTAGACAATTAAAAAATAAACACAGAAATGAAAATCATGGGCTATCCATGAGACCATGTCAATTTATTGTTAACAGAGGAAATGAACACATAAATAATTATAAACAGTCAATTTACCTTAATGGCTGTGTTTCAGAGGGTTTGCGATGTGAGTGTTGTGTCAAAAACCTTTGGAGCATTTCATCGAACAGTTTATAGGTCTACACTAATAATGCTATTATGTGGGTTTTTTTTTCAAAGTGTGTGGCGTTTTGCTATTTTAACGAGTGGCTATTGGGGTGTGTATATTGTGCATCACTGATGTGTATGTATGTGTGTTTTGGTGGGTGTGTGTATGTATGGGTTCAGGGCTTTGGAAAGTGTCAAGAGTGAGTGAGTACTGATGGTGGCTACTGGCGGGGTCGCTGGTGGCTCTCCATGGTGGTGGTCGTTGTTTAGGCTAGTAGATAAGAGAGTGCAGAGAAAAAGATAAGATAGAGAGTGGGGAAGAGAAAGGGGTTAATAGACGCATGAGAGAGAAGAGATAGGGAGGAGAGAAACTGAGTTGGGTGTGTGTGGTAACAGAGAGGATCGAGAGAGAGGGAAACAGAAGGTACTTGGCGCTGGTGACTCCGGTGGGTGGCGCTGGTGGTTTCAGCTCTAGTGGGTTTGTCTCTCTTGGTGGCTTACAAAGTGAGAAGAGAGAGAGAGAGAGAGAGAGAGAGAGAGGGGTATTGAGCGAGAGGTGAGAGAGGAGAGAGTACGCCTAGCTGGGGTTTTGTGCTGGACTGGGGTAGCGTGTGTGGGGTTAAAATGGGCAGGAGAAGATATTTATGTGGGATGCATTTTGAGCCTTTGGATTAGGTTGGAAAAATTGAGATGAAATTTGGACCTTTGAATTAAAAGTGGATTTAATATGAGCCATTCTTGTGCTTTACCAAATGAATTAAAACTGAAATAAATTTTGAAGTTAGAATGGATTCAAAATTGGTTCTATCTTGTTATTATAGATAACAATGCTGGGAGACCATTATTTGTGTGTATATAGTTCATTCTTGATGTTTGAAAGGTTTTTTGTTGATTTATGTTCATTTTATTTCTATGGTGAATTGCAACTAGTTAAATTGCTTTACAGAGATGAATTTTTGAATGTTCAAATGTGATGAGGTATTTATTACGAGGCTTTTATGTTGGAAAAATGTCTCCAAGTTTTCCAGTATTTTTAGCCAATATTGACTTGTAGGCATTCTCATTTTTTTATGTGTGATTATTCCAGAGTTCTTTGCAAGTTCTATGCACACGGAGCATGTTTAAAAGGGGACTATTGTGAGTTTTCACATGACCGCAATGACCCACCAAATAATGTAAAAGCTCTACTCTTGCTTTGTTGGTCAAGTGGTTGATTTTAGTGATTTCATGCTTAGCTTCTTTATGGTTCATTGTTGCAGATCTGCACATTCTATCTCAAAGGATGTTGCTCTTATGGCAGCAGGTGCAGATATGACCATGCGAAAGCTTCTTGGTCAGAGTCTTCTGCTACATCTTCGTCAGTGTATTCTCGACAGAATTGGGTTTCGGATTCTCTCTCTGTAGCTCATCCTTCTAGAGCTGCATCAAGTGGTCTAACTCCAGTCCCAGGTATTAATATGGAGCTTTCAGCTTCAAGCAGACCTTTCTTTCCTCCTACTAAACCAGCATGGGAGCAGAAGTCTGGGTATCCTGATTTGCTTGAAAATAATGATGTTGGGGATCCCAGAAGTGCTAATCCTGCTGACCGTTCAATCTGCTCGTTTGCTGCTGCCGGTAGCTGCCCACGCGGAGAAAAATGCCCTCATATGCATGGGGATTTATGTCCTTCCTGCGGAAAACATTGTTTGCATCCATTTAGGCCCGAGGAAAGGGAAGAACATCGACAAAGTTGTGAGAAAAGGCAAAAAGACCTTGAGGCATTAAAATGTAGTCAGGAAATAGAATGCAGTGTATGCCTCGAACGAGTTCTGTCAAAGCCCACAGCTGCTGAGCGGAAGTTTGGACTGTTATCGGAGTGCAATCATCCATTCTGTATATCATGTATCAGGAATTGGCGCGGTACTTCCCCTACCTCCGGGATGGATGTCAATTCTGCATTAAGGGCCTGCCCAATATGCAGGAAGCTTTCATATTTTGTCATTCCTAGTGTCATTTGGTATTCCACCAAAGAAGAAAAACAAGAAATTATTGACAATTACAAAGCAAAACTCAGGTATAACTGAGTAATCATATATCCTTTTTCATCTATGGTTGCTAACTTGCATATTCTTTTCTTATTTGTCTTGGAATATAGTTGGAAAAGTTTTGTTCGTAGGAATTGAGAACATTCTAACTATGCAGTGTGTCGATGCATCTCATTTCCTTAATAGAAATTTAGAGTGGTCATCCAATTGTAGTTAGGGGGCTGGTTGAACCCCTTTGAGAGTAATTGTGGTATTTTACCATAAGGATACATATTGACCTTGTTCTAGTTTTAGTTCCTTAGACATTCGTGATTCAAACTCCGGCACACTATAGGTTCTTTGATGCTCATGCTCATTTGTGTGTATGCGTTTGCGACTGTGTGCACACATCTTTTTTTTTTTTTTTGCGGTGACCTCTATTTTACATGCAGAATGCATTGAATTCATATATTTTACAATATAGTGGTACTGTCACCCTTGACTTTCTTGAAAATTCATAGGCATAATGGGGACCTCCTTACATAGATGAATGACAAAATTATGCTACTACTAATACAATGTAGTGATTTTCCTAAATACTGTTCAATGTTCGAGATTAAAATAGACGAGCCGAGGTTTGGCATTCGTAAAAGTGCAAGAGATCTGTTTATTAGAACTAGAGAAGCACTTGATATAGGTAGTAGTTCATAGGTCAGAACTTTGGTACTCTTTTTTTCAACTGGAATTATTCCATTTAAAAAATTTCCACCAAGTTCCTATGTTGGTTTTGTTTGGGGGTCAACCCAAGTGTGTAAGTTTGATGTGTTGTCACCTTTGCTTTTGTGAAAGTGTTTGAAGCGCTAAAAGTATTGTAGGTATCTGAGTCCATGGAAAGTTTTATAATTGAAATTTGAGATTTTAAGGTAGGTTCAGTGACTCGCTATATTCCAAAATTTGTTAACTGAATTGTAGTTGTAGTTCTAATTTGTGTAACTAATCATTTATTTCCATTTTTTTTGCCAATGGTTCACTTACTAATTTGTCTTCCGTCTTGTAGTTCTATCGATTGCAAGCATTTTGACTTCGGGAATGGGACTTGCCCATTCGGGACTAGTTGTTTTTACAAGGTAATCAAGTCGTTAAGTTTTTATGGTTGTCTATTTTATGTTTCTTTTTTTTTTTTTGCTAGGTGCAAGTGGTTATATTATCTTGATAGCATTTGTTTGCGATTTGGACACTTTTTTTTAATCTATAATGGAGTACCATAGAAGTTATTATGTGGAGTCTAGAAAAGGGATTTCAATGGGTTTTTTGATACGACAGTGACAGCAAAAGTTTTAGTACATTGTTGATTCGGTGTTTGCGTGAGTATGCATAGATAAGGAGTAGTGTTATCAAAAGCACCCTCGGGTGATTTCCTAAGCGCTAGGGTCGCTTGGGTGCTAGACGAAGTTAGGGGAAGCTGGCTCGTTTCAAGTTGTCCAAGGTGAGGTTTTTTGCCTAAGGCAAATCTTAAGCGCAAAAAATGAGTGCCTGAAATTATTCTCCTGGCAATGTGGTATTTGCTCTGCTATTTTTTTTCCTTGTTTTGCTTTGTTGATTTGTTATGGACCTTCAGATCTGTTCAATTGGATAGAAATTTTGATGTTCAATAAAACTAGATTGATGCTCCAAACATATATATCAGTAATAATCTAGTGTTTAACGACATTTTACAATATCAAAAATTGAACATTAATTATGCGATATTTATATTTTAAATTTATTATTGTTACTTTTATTTTTTAAATTATGTAATTTAAAATTAAAGTGAATAGAGAGAAAATATGATAAACTATGAAGCACGAGCACTCTCAAGAAGGTGATGTATCCGTGTTTGACACCGACACTCTCGGATATGTGTTCGATACTTTTTTATCCATTTTTATAATTAAATGACAATTTTAATTTTTGACTCGTGTTTGACACTTTTTTAAACCGTATCTATTATTAAACAGTAAATATATATTGACATGTGATTAACAAAATTTAGAAATTTGACTAACAAGTGCATTATATTATCAGAGAATATATAATTACATGTTAAAGTTGTACCTAAAATATAATAACAAAAACAACACATACATAAAAGATGAGCAATTGAAAAAATGAGGGCAATTATTTAAATTATATATATTTGATACACCTTTACCAAAAAATTGATGATTACTAACTATTATGGTGTTAGTCTAAAAATTTACATTGGATGACCAGACATAAACATTTACTTTTTGTAAAATATTAAATTTTTTAAGAATAATATATCATTATCACTATATTTGTGATAAATTATATAATTTTTTTATATAAAAAATAATTATTTATAGCGTATCTCCAACGTGTCTGTGTCCTATTTTTTTTTTTAAATAAATATTGTGTTTTCGTGTCCAGGTCTTCCGTGCTTCTTAGATGATGGAGGTAAGGGAGGGAGAAGAGAAAGGTAAGTGTGGATTAATGCGGTTATTTGACGTCGGGGAGTGTGTTGGTTGAGTTGTTTGACATTGGAGACCGTGTAGAGAAGATGATATTTTTGAGTGGAAAAATAAATTTGGGGATGGAATTGTGTACAATTGTATCAAAGTAGATGAAAATTGAATCAATCTTAAAATTTTAGATAGATGTCAACCCTAAAATTTTCTCTTGAATCAACAAATCTGGATCAAATTAAGGGGTTGTATGAGAGGGAGTAACGAAACCCAATTGAATGTTTAGTTGTTTTAACAGTTTGATTTGGGTGTTTAAAATGCTAAGATTTGAGATATTAATGGTGTTCGTTTGAATTTAAATGTTTACACTTTTGGTAGCATTGGAATGTTTAGTACTTAGAATGTTTTTATAATATTCTTCTCTCTTCAATGATGCTCTCGATTCGTCTCTTGTGTAGGCCTCAAGAGACCTGATTGTTGGTCCACTTACGCCATAGATAAACATCATATATGGTTTTGTTTGGAATATGATGTCATGTACCGATGAGTTTGTACCTAGTGTTACAGTTTGCGACATGCAACTACGAGTGCCAGCAAAAAGTGGGTTAAGTAGCTTAAAGGTTGTATTTGCTCCAAGTCATTCACGGGCTCACAGAAATTTGTTGGGCTTGGGTATCTTGCTGGAAGGTTGCTATAGCATTTATGATGTGGAATTTGTAGAAGAATGAGATGTCACAGAATTACATACTTAAAAGTCATATTAGTCATTTTTTTTTCCTTTTTACTGATTATGTGCATATTTCTGATGGTTTCTTTTGCAAGATGACATTGTTTTTTTCTGCACCTGTTTCGTTTCCCTTATATTTTTGTATGCATTCTTCAATTGAATATAAATTATTGTAGGCCTAAATTGTGTGGATATTATGTTATTACAGCATGCTTATCATGATGGCAGTCTCGAGGAAGTGGTTCTACGCCATCTTGGGGATGAAGATGGACAAACTGTGATTGCCAAAAATATTAGGTTTTGACAGTTTCCTTCCATTTTCTTCTCTTTTGCCTTTTTGAATGGATATCAATGTGGTATGTGTTTTTCAGGCTGTCGGACTTCCTCAGCAATTTGCAAATAAGGTGAACAACACTCCAATGGCTCCAGAGTATGTTCAGTCATGATTCTGATTTTGCCTCTTTATAATCCTGGATGCTTGTTCATTTGGGCTTTATTTCCTAGCTGATTTCTTGGTCTCAATTTAATGGGAACTGTTCGATCTTTGTCGAATTGAAAATCAAATCTGTTACCAATTATTGGTTACCACATAGATACCCATAGCATCCCACAAACCGGCGTCGCACGATCCGATACTGGTGGGTTCACTAGATCATTCAAAGTCCTGAACCCTAATTATAACACAAACAGTAAATTGATTGGTGGTCTAAGTAATCCGACATCATAACCCCGACCCCAAATTTTACGTACCAAATTGACCCATGATCTAGGTAACATTTTGGTTTTGCTCCATGTGTGATCTCAACTTGTGCTGTTGCCTCATCATAGTTTTGAGTTGTAGGGCTCCATTTTAGTTGCCTAGATTTTTTGGTGATTGAACATCATGGCATACAAGGTGCTACTACATGACAGCAGTTTGAGAAAACCTGCCGCTGGCAGACTGTTATGTTATCCATAGGAAATTTGACTGAAGGGTTTTGCATCCTTTCTTCAGTTGTAAGACCCTTAATATAGTTGAATTTGCTGCCAGAAATTCCTGGGCACTTGAGTTGATGCTTTCTCAATAATTACTGGACATCATATTTTGCTTAGTCAAGGTTCAGGATCTATTCCATTGATATGGAATTTTCCCTGCTGAATATCAAATGTGTTTTATTATTCACTGGTGCCAGTTTTATATGCAGGGAATATTTGGTATGATGATGTCTGAGCTTATGAAGCCAAATTTCTTCTAATTGGCCAGAGTTACCCTATGGTTTTCAGTAAGGTGGGGTGCTAAGGTTTAACATTGCATTACATATTGTTTATCCTGCAATGAAATCTACTATTCTTCTCAGTTTGTGGACAATCTCTCCGTTTTTCCCAGACCAACGTAACAAAAAATAACTACCAGTACCTCTTAATTTTTGTTGCTCTAGTGCCGTCCTTGCTACTCAATTCAGTGGGTGGTTTTGGTGTCATCTTCTTCTTCAAACACCATTCAAAATTGTTGTTTATATATATCGAATTTACTTGTGATCTTATTCTCTCTTCGAAACATCACTTCCCTGTGTTCAGAGCATTGCTAACTTTCACATGGGGACTGCTGCCAGTGGGGTTATTATCCCCTTAAGCATATGTTGGCATGATAGGCACGTCTCACAAGCCTTATGATAAAGCAAGGGTCTTTCAACTCATTCGAAGAAAGTTCGAGTTCTTTCATGGTGAGCCATGAAAGGATATGGAATTTCACATATACCATTTTGCACTAATAGCATGGGTAAATGTGGCCATCTATAGCCTGTGTTGTGCAGCGCTCTGACATCTGTTCTCTGTTTTCTAATTTATTGTTGACTGCCTTCTGTTGAACTTCCTTGATATATGCTTATATTTGGGGGTTGTAGAGAAGGCATGTAGTTCCATATGGGTTGCCATCTGGAGTTAGCATGTCGCATTCTTCAAATGAAACGGGCATGTTTATGCCGGAAATATGTTATTTCTGGGCTAAAATTTATTGTGTGATAGATTTTCTGAAATGAAAATTTTCAAGGCAAAGGACCATACCTTGTGGATGATAGGTTGATAGGCAGTATGGAATATAAATTGATTTTAATCTAGTGCATTTCTAAATCCTCTTCCCCTTAATCTTGTCTCTGATAAGCAGATTTTACTGTTTAAATCACTGGTTCTTACTATTTATTCTGTTTTACTTTGTGGCAGTGATGCAGAAGCTTGCTGTGGTAGATCCATCCAAACCTTGGATATAAGGTGGTGGCAATGCCTAGTTATATGAATAAAATTGCATCTAAAACAATGAAAGCATAGATTGAATAAATTGAAAACCATGAGTTCAACAATCACTGGTTCCTTGGAAGGTTGGTTGATCAATAGGTGACTATACAGAGGATAATCAAAATAAAAAGATGTGCAAAGGGATGGTACAGATGTTGCCAGAATGCTGGCTTCATCGGTATATAGAAAATTGTATATCATGTTGTGTTTTTTTGTGAATTATTATGTTTGGATGGAATGCTGTGGATTTAGTGATTGGTTTGTACTTAATGTTTTGGATTTTCAGAATAAAAAAATACAATTATGTGACACCTGAGATTGTTGCGAATCATACAATTAAGAGGCATGTTTTGTGCAATTTTGTTGGAGTTTTTGGGATCGATGCTAATAATTTCAAGAACGATCCTAAACGCTAGGATTGATTTAGGATCGGTCTCAAACTCTTCAAAAGTTGTATTCCAAAAAAATTGTAACTTGAGTCCTAAAATTTATATCGTGATCCCAAGAAATTGTAATTTTTTTAGGATTGCTAAACCTTTTTTTTTAGTTGTAATTGTAGAAATTCATATTAAGAGATAAATTGAAATAAGGAAGGAAAGGAAAATAAGAAGGAATAAGACACAAAGATATACGTGGTTTGATACAATGAGCTCATTTGGTAGGTGTATAGGTGAATCAAATATTTATTGTATTATTATTTATTTAATCTGGTCTAATACTTTGTTTGATAGATAAGTTTGATTCCGTATTAATTTCAAAACAAATAACAAGGGCATGTTTGTTTTGAGAATTGCTATACATGGCATTGAGAAATGTATTCCTTATATTTCTAATACCAATGAAAATTAGTACTAGTAATAGAAGTATTTCAATACCCTCCTATGTTTGTTAGTCCAATAGGTATTGTGATAAGTTTTACAAATAACAATTTATTCTATCACATATTGTATAACAAATATACAATTTTATTCTTAATATTATCTATTTCATTATTCTGTTTGTATAACGCTTTTATACAATATTTGGTATAATACATGGTATGACAATTTATACCCAAAAAATTTTGGATAATATAAAAAATTCACATAAAAAATAAAGAATAGGTGTTATGAATTGATGTTCCTGATGTATTTACAAAAAAAAAAAAATTGTAAAAAAAAAATAACTGGTGACATCGTACGCTTAAATATAATATAAGAAAAAAATTCAAAATATTTTTAAAAAAAAATAAAAAAAAATTGATAACACAATACACTTAAACATAATATAAGGAAAAAATTTAAAATAAATTTTTTTTAAACAAAAAAAAAAATAGTGACACTGTACACTTAAACATAATACAAGGAAAAATTCAAAATCAGAATTTTTTTTAAAAAAAAATTAATAAAATTAAAACACAAAAAACTGTTGGTGGCCAAATCTCACACTAATATTAAAGTCGAAAGAAAATTCACTCATTAACCTCCTTAATACCATTGGTGGTCAAAATCCAAAAAATAACACCACCTCCTAGATGGTATTATATAAGCTCATATACATGGGTTTCATTGATTGTAGTGGGCGGGTCAATATTGTGACTCAAAAAATAGTATCACACGAAAAAAAAAGTAAACAAACAAGGTATTATTGGGCTCCACGTACTATTTTTCCTAATCCCACCTCCTTATACCACCATTATTCTTCAAACAAACATGCCCTAATAGTAGTACCATAGACCTGTTGTCACGCCCCATCCCGGTCTTCTAAGGATGAGACGCAACTAGGTCTATGATACACCTGTTTACATATATATAATCTAGATTAATAAAACACTAATTAATCCTACAGGTGCAACAATATCACCCATTAGCTTAGTTAATAAGTATGATTGTAAACCTGTCTCATAACCTGTACCATATATAAGACTTTTTACCAATTGTTTGTTTTCGAGGTTATAGACAGATACAAAATCCCACACCCACATAACATACATCAGAAAGTATGTCTGTTGAGTTTGTTTACAAATATATATACTATTAACCTGTTATAATAATCTCTCATTTAACATAATATACAACCCAACAAATAATTATATAGTCCCTCAATCAGTATCATTTACTCATTTAAAACTAAATACATAATGAACAAAATATCATACTAACGTTGTACAAAACTCAACCCTTTTGATAGTGAACTGATTTGTGTCTCCCTCTCTTGTACTTGAAATGAGAAACTATAGAGGTGTGAGTTAAATTATGCGTTCAGTGAGTATACATGATGTATATAAAATGAAAATGATAGTAATACACTGAAGTAAATAGATACTATGTAGGTACACATATCAAACAATAGCATCAATCCAATTTCAAAAAATTCACAAGCCACAACGCATCCATACTACCCCTTATCGGGTATACAATCCCACATGGATCCGTGTCTCCCTAACCTCCTAGGAACACCATAGTGCTAGCACACCACTGCATGTCCAGTGATTAGGCATCGACGCTCCTCTCACCATATTCCACATTCCACAATATACAATACAAAGCATCATCCAATCACATAAGCACATAGCACACAATCTTGGAGAAATGTTATTAAATTCTTTCATCTAGCATCATCTTATAATAGCATTTTAAAAACATATAAAGATATACACTCATCTCAAATATACTGGTCTACGACACTTTGGTTCTATCAGTTGATCATTTCGGTGTTATTGTATCTATTCCAACACCCACTGTCTCACCTGTTGCACCTAACACATTTGTAATTACAATATCAATATATTTATCACATTTAATAATTAATCCGGCATTAATGCATGCAAGACGATTCAACCCAAAATGCCCTGATAACCCCGGTTACCGCATTGTTCATTCACATACTGGCACATTAGAATTAGGGATCATATTTCTTCCCCGAATCCTAAAACTACACTTCCGGCATTCTATACGTTCCTGGGTATTATATTCATTTGCATTTGAATTATACATTATCACATCAAGCATCAATTAAAAATGCTGCATGCAAAATTTTAGATCATTTGGATTAAAATTCATACAAGTGATAATAATATTTAGAAATCAGGGTTTAGGCATTACCGACACCCATTTTCAATTATTTTTTATCATATTTCCTTTTAAAACAATTTTACTTAAACTCACACACTCCGTAACTCATGCAAATTTGCCCTTTAATTGAACCATTAAACCCCCAATTTCACTCCCATAATTTTGGTTTCAACCTCGTCCATAAAACGCATCCCAAACATCTCAAAGGATCATTTTTCACATTTTTCTCATATTCGATTTAATACCCATTTGGAACTCTTACTTAGCAACCTGTTAATTACGTTCCATACACTTAATGAAACTCACAAAATCTGTTGTGAAATTAAATTACAACAGCCCACTAATTTATATTTAATACACTTAATTTAAGCTCACAAAAATATGTTTTGAAATAAACTAAAACAGCCCACACATATACACAAATACTTAAAATTAATCTTACACATACACTAAAATGAACACACAAACTCTTACCTTCTTCTTGTTTTCTTCTTATTTTGGGTTTGGCATGGAGTCCCCCAACTTCTTCTTTCTTCTTCCTCTCCTTTACTCTCCCTCACTCACAATTTGAATACACCAAAACACACACACATTACTACACCTTAAGACACCCACATACACTTGGCACACACACACACACACATGCACTTGACTTTTTCAAAATGACTCACTACCTTAGCCTTGACACATGTTTAAAGATATTTCATGAAACTTTAATAATTCTATTTGCCTCCTCTCAAATTCTTAAGTGATTTCAAAATCAACCCAATACTATTTTCGTACACAAAATTCCATCTAACAAATAATTTCACATAATTACAATTAGTCCACATAATTATGCTAATATGTATGCAATGTATGATCGGGTCTCACACCTGTATCATGGAGGTATTATAATACCACCAAGAGAAGTAGTATTATAATCAATCTCAAATTTATTATTATACATATTCACTATTATAACCTCAGAACTAATAAAATCAAATTGTCATAAATGTAACATATATTGATTTAGGGTATTTTGGTTAATTCAACATTAATACCATGAAATAATGTCCTAACTGAATAACCAATTAGATTAAAAACCTTTATCCAATGCTTATGTTGTGTATTGTCAAATACTAAATAAAGTTACATATTATTCTAATGTCCTATTTAATCTTATCTTTTATCCATTTGTATTGTATTAAACTGTATTATTTTATCTAATTCATTCATTCCTAATACAACAACCAAACGAGCTCAATGTGTAATGTGCATACATTCAAGGCCCAAATGCCTTATGGGTTATGTGTGATGTGTTATTGAAGGTAATTAAAAATAAGGAATTTTAGAGGCCGGTCCTCCTATATGGACTTGTTTAGACTTAAGTTTGTCAGAGAAACTTATTTGTTATAAAGTCCGTTTTTTGCCAATTTTACTATACTATCCCTTTTCTTTAGATGTGAAGTAAAACTAAAAATTAAAAACTCTTAAATCTTAAGAGTTTAACTAACATTAAAATATTTTATCTCTCATATATATACAAAAAAAAGTTATCATTTGGACCCAAAAAATAATACATTTAAACACAAAAAAATAGTAACATTTAAACATAAAAAAATTTGAAACATTCATTATTAATATTTTTAAAAAATAACAATAATAATATGTTCAACAAAAATAGTTACATGATTAAAAAAAATTGTAATATACTTAACAATAATTATTTATCTCAAATTCAAACGCAAAAAATAGTATCATTCAAACACAAAAAATAGTAATATTCAAAAAAAAAAACATAGTAACATTGAATATTTATATTTAGGAAAATAATAGTAGTAACACGCTCAACAAAAACAGTAACATACTCAAAATAATAGTAACATAAACAGTAATATATTCAACAAAAGCAGTAACATGAACAACAACATAAAAAAAATATTAACATGAAACATTCAATTTAACAAATTAACCCCCACGAAAAATACCACAAATTACAAAAATTAAAAAATTAACAAGAACCAGAAATTTTCATCCGTTACCCACAAAATTGACATAATTCATAGAAAATTAAAAGATGAACATTGATGAAACAACGGCACTAGCAGGTCGGAGAGAGAGAAAGAGAGCTTTGAATTTGAATTTTAAATTTATGATGGAGATTTTATTGGTATATTTTAATTGACATTGAATTAAGGGATAACTATATCTAAAATAGAAAATTAATTTAACCTCCTTTCAAGGAAGGGTATTTTTGAGATTAAAAAAAAATTGACTTAAGTCATTACATATAATTTTAAATAGGGATTTAACTCCTTATAAGTTTTCTTGTAAGACATGTCTCCAAACAAATATATCTAGAGGGACTCACTTCTAATTTTCACTTAATTATATTAGGTTTAACCTCATTTATAGGGTGTGAATTATATAAAATAAAATAAATCACACATGTCTACCATCATCTCTATTTAATCTAAACAGATCTAGATATTGATAGATCTCTTTGAATTTTATTGTATTTCTACCTAGATATTGATGATTTTTGTTTAATCCTATCATATCTCCAATAGTAATTAGATTTCTAAAAACTTTATACTTGTAAACTTTGGTTCCGTCTCTTATGATACCCAGTCATTTTTTAAAAAAAAAAGTGAATTGGATTTTTTACTCACTAAGACTTTGGATCCTGGTTTCTTCTCAGTGCGTGTGCTTTTTTAGTGGGAAGAGACATTTGTGTACTCCCCTAATCAAAACCTTTTTGAGAGTTTATCAACTTTGGAGGTTTATTTACTGTTTTTTAAGGTAAAATTTAATTTCTTTTTTAGAATTTTTTAATATAGTACTAAAAAGTTAAAAGTGTGGTTCTCAGGACTGTATGGGATCTAGATTGAATCTTGATTTGTCCGAATCTTGATTTGTCCAAATCTAGATTTGATAAAAAATTCAAGTTTCAAATCCGATCTATTTATCTTACAGATTTTAAAATCTTAACTCATATCTATATATTTGATCCAATTATAAGTCTGGTCTAAAATTTTGAATTCCAACAAAATTTTATTAAAAAAATAATAATTTTTACTAAATTTAAGTTAATTTTCAACTTAATTTAATTAATCAATCATTTTATTCAATAATTTTTATTTAATTTTATGTCAATCTCATAAATAATCTGACTAAGTGTATATATATGTATACTCGATTGGATTTTTATTGGATTGAATTTATATGTATTCAAATTCAAATTCGTTTAAAAAACTTTAATCGAATTTAATAAACAAATTAAAATATTAATTCATTTCCGGTTAAAATGATTTGAATTCGGATAAAAATTCCTTCCATTGATTGGTACAATGTTTTCCTTCTGCCTCAGTTTTCAACTTGAGAAGCAAAAGAAAATAATTAATTCTGTAACTCCCTCCCCAATTGGTTAAAAGATATCTCTCTCTCTCTCTCTCCCTAAAAGATGGATAGATCCTCACTTTTTTTTTTTTTAAAGATGAATTTTTATTGAAAATGAATCCAAAGATTTACAAGAACCAAAGGGAAAGAAAAGAATTTTCAATCCTAATTTACATGGCCTTAATCCTTCAAAAAATCAAAACTTCAATAAAACTACATCGGGCTTCTTCGAACTGCCAAAGAGAAAAACAAAGCCATGAGCAATTCTCCTTCAAGGGCAAAGAACCTACACAGCGCAAGCTGACTCCACCCTTCAACCTTTATCATCAAACACCAGCATCTTTTTCTGGCGCAGAAGAGGCAGAACAGGCAGCTGCCTTGAATCCTGCAACAAGACCAGCTGAGCAGCACTAAGCAGAACCAGGGCTACTGAATAATCAGTAGAAACCCTATCCTGCACTCCTTGATTTGCTAGCTTATCAGCAACCATATCGGCTTCCCTATAGACATGAGTCAACTCAAACTCTACAAATCTCAAAATACTCCTGATGTGCCTCAAAAAACCAATCAGAGGCCATGCACAGTCACACCTTCCCATCACAGTGTTGACCAAAACAAGTGAATCAGACTCCAGCAAGATCTTATAGGCAAATAAACCATAGTGCTTTACCAATAGCAAGCCATCTAATAATGGCCTATATTCAGCCACCAAGTTAGTACATTCCCCATAGAAAAAGGAAGTTGCTAACACAACCCCTGCTAACACAATTTAAATTTACTAACAAACACATACAATCGAAAAACAAATCAAGAATATAAAGCAATAAGAAACAAAAAAGAATAAGACACAGATTTTACGTGGTTCGGCAATTTGCCTACGTCCACGAAGCTGCAGGGATTTTACTATTGAGAGAGTTGAATTACAGAGAGCGGCTGTACAATTCACAATAAACCCTAATCACCAAAACAATAGGGTATATATGTCTTACACACTGGGCTGTATAACGGGCCAAAAAAATTTTCCTCGGGGGAATCCCCACGAGGCTTGTCTATGAGCGCTACGGCTTGGGCCTATCTGCCCAAGCTTTCGCTCCATGGACTAAGCCTTAGAAAATTTTTCATTAAAAAACCACACAACATTACTTTGGATCGAGTCATCATTCGAATTACATATACAAACTATGCTCCATAAAAAAAAAAAAAACAACAGCCCATTCATTTCTTAAAACAACTCCTCCTCCTGCCAAACATTACCCTTAGAGGCCCCATCTGTGTTACTAACCCACAAAGACCTCCTCACAACACAATAAGAGGAACTGATCTTCAACTCCTGCAAGCAATCCCTACCAAACCCATCCTCAATTAACATCACTTTGATCTATCAAATCTCAAAGTTTAAAGAAAAAGAAAAAGATTTATCTTTTATAAATCTTTGAGGCATGATCGAAATTCTATTTTGTTTATCATGTCTTTTTTTTGGGTATTGCAATTTAAACATAATCCCTTCTCGTGTGATTAAAAATAAAAGATTTATAAAAGATAAACTTAAGTGAGACTTTTTTCTTTTGGATTATATTGTCTCTTCAAACTTTTTTTCTTTTCGTGGTGGTGTTTGTTTTCTCGTTTGTCCATAATAGATCTTTCTCATTCAAGAAAAAAAAATCATATAGATGAACATTGTACAGGAGAAAAAAAATACCCATTCCATAAACAGTGAAGCAAGCCGGAGAACTTTTATACCAATCCACCAAATAAAATTTTATAAATATAAAGAATATGTATATGTATGTAAGTACAAGACTCGACTTTTATTCCCCTCTGTATTCTAAACTACTAGAGAACAATATATATTAAAAAACAATAAACAAAACGAAATAAATAAACTCCACATTAAATCCATGGAAAAAGAAATCTCTCGTATGAATCCTCCATCTTCTAGATGAATATATGTGACCCTGTGAATGAATCCATTGCTGAAATCTCTAGTTCTTCATGAGCGTAAGCAAAGACAAGAATAGCGAAGAGCACAAAATAACTACAGAGACCAGTAAAGAATACCCAGAACCATGGTCCATCGCTGGTGCCTGTGCTGGAGAAAAATCTGATGCTGGCGCCGGAGCAAAATCTTGTGCCGCCGCTACGGTGGAGAGGACTGCAATGACACAGAGCATAGCACAAGTGAATGTGGCTCCTAGCCCCATTGCAGACATATTAGCAATGGAGAGCGAGAATAGGATTTTCTGCAGAGAGAAAGCAAGAAGAACTGAGAGAGTGGTGGCGGTGATTTGGAGAGGGGGGGAAGATAGGTATTTATAGGTGACTGGGGGTATGCTAGAGGCGTGTGGACCCCAACAGAAAACGTGGACAGCTGGCGGTGTGGGGGCCAGCTCACGTTGAGTGGAAAGAACTGAACAAGTTTGAGTCGTAGAAGGTAAAGGCTGTTCCAAGGTCAACTGTGGGTGGAGAGGTGGGGAGTTTGTCACCGTCACGACTGCTTATGCCATGTGGTAGAGTTTGGTTTAACTACTATTGCTCTCTCTCTCTTCTTAACGCCGAAGTAAGTCTCTCTCTCTCTCTCTCTCTCTCTCTCTCTCTCTCTCTTAACGTCGAAGTAAGACTTTGTCGGTGGGGGTACCACGTGCCACTTGCCAATGAGCCTAATAGAATCCCGTGGGTTCATTTGATTTGATTAGAAAGAAAAGGTGGCGAAAAATGAAAGAGGCAGTAAGTGAACTGTAAGAAAATATGTTTTTATGTATATATTTGGCTAATATGAAAAATTTTTAAGAAAATTTTAAAATAATGTTATTCCATTGTTTAAAAAAAAAGAAAGTTATGAGAAAACTTTTTTATTTGTCAAAATTATCTTTAAGTATTTTAACTCGGTCTAAAGAAGAAAAATATATTTTTTATTATTTAAATTTAAAAAAAATTGGCTCCTAACCTAATTCAAGAATAAAGATCAACTCGAACCTTAGTCTCTAGACTAAATTATATGATTAACCTAATTTGTACACATTCTTTTAAAATTAATATCTAATTGAATATTTTAAGAAAAATAAGAGTAAAATGAGAAGTTAAGTTATTGAATATAACTTTCTTGCTTTTTCTTGTATTTTTTGCAAGAAAAAAAAGTTAGTTAAATGTGATAAAATCTAAATATGAGAGAAAATTATTTTTTCTATTAAAAAAAAAGAGGGATTGAGACGGTGACGGATTTTAAGGCTGGTTTTTAGGACGGTTTGTTGTGTTTCTGGAACAAAAAGTTGTGTTGTCGGTTATTTTTTATTTTTATTTTTTAAAAATTAAAAATAAAAATTGAATAAATTTAGGATACCTTCCATATCGTTTTTATTTTATATAATAAAAATTAAAAATATAAAATATGTTTAATAATTATTTATATTTAAAAAATTATAAAAATAAAAAATATATATATTTAAAATTATACCGAAAACCCACTATCACACAACCACCCAACTCCACCGAAACACCACCAAAACCTTCCATCCAACCCCCTGCAAAACCCATCCACCCAACCACTTTGAAACCCACCATCACCATACTTCCACCATCACATCTACCATCACCACCACACTCCCACCACCCTTTCATCAACACCATCATCACCACTATTACAATTTTATTTTTATTATTTTATTAGTTATTATAATTGTCCACTTTGAAACCCACCATCACCATACTTCCACCATCACATCTACCATCACCACCACACTCCCACCACCCTTTCATCAACACTATCATCACCACTATTACAATTTTATTTTTATTATTTTATTAGTTATTATAATTGTCAACATATGTGAAAATTTTTTGATTTTTAATTTTATTTTTAATTATTATTATAAAATTAATAATACTCGCATATTACTTTAATCCCATTTTTATTTTCTATTTTATTTTTAATTATTATTATAAAATTAATAATACTCACACATTACTTTTATCCCATTTTTATTTCTTATACGGCTATACTTATTTGACTTTTAAGTTATTTTAGACTCTTTTATTAACAATATTTGACTTCTAAATTCTTTATTATTTTTATCTATTTTTTATTTCTTATACCTATTTGACTTATAAGTTATTTTAGATTCTTTCATTAATAGTATTTGAATTATAATTTCTTTTGCAATCATTTATTAGTAATTTACTTTCATACATTTTTTATATATATGTTTATATTTATATGATGAAATAAAGTTCAATTTATACTCTATATTTCTATTACTACATATGTGCGTGTGTAGTTGTTGAATTGGATTCTATGATTAAATATATGTCATGTTTTTTTTTTTTTTGATATTCAACAATATCATATTATTATAGTACAAACAATAGTATTGCAATTAAATTAACCTATTTTACAAGAAAAGTAATTTATAATATAATTAGATATACAAATACTCAATAATGATAATTTTACAATGCAATTTCATTATAAAAAAATTAGAAAATTGTCTAATGAGTCGAAGAGATCTTTAAATAAATGATAGATTAGATAATCAAATAGGAATATAATATATCAGTAATTAAGTTTAACAATAGTTAAAATAAGAATTAATTATTACACACATAATTTATGATTCAATTTAATTACATATAAAATTTAAATTTCTCATAAAAAATTGTTATTCAAATATATTCAGATGCAACGCACGTTGTGCATTACTAGTATATATACAAAACGAATAAGTCATTGCTCAAGCTTTATTGGTCGATTAAATGAGTGTCAAAATTAAGTTGGGGCTAATTAGATTGATTTAGCAAATTTTAATTTCAACTGATCAAAATTTTTTTTTTACTCCATAGGATTAGTTACATGCCTTATTACACCCAAAATATCAAGATTTAAGAACGACACGTAACAAAGATACAATAAGACGGTTGAGAGAATAGCATTTCATAAATTTTTAAAATGAAAAAACATAACATCATGAATTGTCAATTAAAAACGGTTTAATGCATGTTTAAACTTATCGAGGAAATAAGTCGTGAGAGCAGTCATGGCCATAAAAGTTGGCTTCGACGGTTGAAAGTCATTCCCTATAAATACCAAAAGACAAGTTACAGAAAAAGATCTCTCGATCAACACACAACAATACACAAAGTCAGCCTCTCATTTACTTAATTTATTTTACAAATTTCCTTTAGCCCGTAAATCGTCACTCCTGTGATATTCCTTTCGGATTAATTTAGTTTGAATTATTCCATTGTCATTTACTTTTCTTGTCGTTAATTCCAGTTTCTTTCCTAGTTCACTAAGTTGTTTGCTTTGAAATTAGTTAAGTATCTGATTCCCAAGGCAAATAAAAGAATCTGAAATTACTTTTACGTTTCGTTACAATCGTTTGAACATTCGTGATATTAGAACCTCACACCGGTACGTACAAGTAAGATTGTAAATGTTTGAATTTTAAGTCCAATTGATTTTGACACACTCTCAATCCGAAAATATGCCATATATATCATGGTCTAAATACTAGATCCAGTAATTGTGTCGGATTGTGTTGATTCGTGTCAAGTATTAGCGAGTTCGTGTTAAAAACTGCTCAACCCGTATACCACTTGTTTATTATCAAGCAATTAAGTGATAAACAAATTAAGGTACTCTATTCAAACATGACTCATTTATTATACGGGATAGGCGGATCCACCCATTTACTATCCGAATCAGTTAATATTAAACTTAAACCCGTTAATTTCATGGTAATTAGTGTTGAGTAATTAAGTTGTGTTTAATTTTGTCAAGCGTATTAAAAACTATGGTTAAGATTAATTATTCAACTCAAACAAGACAATTATAGCTATCTAGATTTATTTATTTCAATATCTTTTCACTTTTATATCTTTCTCTTTTTTCCCAATCTCTATACACGGATATTGTGTATGCACGACTCTTAGTACATGAGTGAACGCAGAGAGGGCTTTGCTATCCACATCAATGGGACTCACCAATGTTTCAAAAACTCTGGTGTGTGTACAAAACTCAGACTTCTATTTAGACTTAACTTTTACCCACGTTAAATTTATCTACGACTTGTGCACAAAACTCACATTACTATTTAGGTTTTACCTTTGCCCATATCAAATTCATTTGTAACACTTTTACAAAATTCATGTTACTATTTAACGTTATGATTGAAACCTAACCTCCATGGATGTCTCTATCAATAATGCCCCAAAAATTGAGATCGCTAACACTTTCCATAAACTTTTTATTTTCACCACCCATTTAACGAAAATATTGAAAACATAAAACAAAAAGTGAAAGAAAAAGCCACAAACTCAACATTTATTAGCAGTTGCCCAAATGGTATCCATCCCCGTTTTTAAATGTTAAGATTGTAAGATCGAATCTCATCGTTCCCTCTTCCGTAATAGTATTGGACAAAAACAAACATTAGAAAAGATGAAGAAAAACCCAACAATCCTAACAAAAGACCTGCTCAAAACAAGAAGTTAAATCCCCTTTGTCCTCACAAACTCAACCACTCTCTAACATACAAAAGTAACCACTAATCTATATCTTTCAAACTAAAAATAGTAATTTTCTTTTTTCGGATAATAAAAACATTAAATTCCAAAAATAGCACATACCACCCCTATAAATACCCTCCCACAGCCACCCCTATCTCCTCAAGGCTGCACACACACAAAGGCAGGATTCGGTAACCAATCTCTCGTTTCTTGAGTTTATTTGCCGATCACCGCCTTCGTTTGCCAAGGAAATGAAGAAGATCGCATGTGCAGCCCTCGTCGTCGCCGCTGCCTCCATGAGCGCGGCCATGGCTGTCGAAGCTCCAAGCATGGCTCCCGCACAGTCCAGTGACGCCGCCGCCATGCCGGCTGCCGTGTCTGTAGTTGGGGCCTCTATCTTGTCCTTCTTCGCTCTCTTCATGCACTAAACTTATAGAGAGAGAGAATGTAGAAGAGGGAAATAAGAATGTGTTAGTGGTTCTGTGCATGGAATTATGTCCAATCATTCTATGCTTTTTTTTGGTTTGTTCGCTTTCTTGATTTTTTACATGTAAGAGGCTCATTTGTATCAATTTGATACAACGCAATAAAAGAATTGTTCAATTCATAGTTTCAAAACATATTGTCTCCGGGTGGGTTTTGATGAACATGATTTTATTCCTGTTATTTCATAATTATCAGCCATATTTGCATACTACTTATTGTTTTGTTGTCATCTGCAATCTAATTTTTATATGGGAGGTCTATGATTTTAAAGGTGCATATGTTACATTAGAGTTGTAAATCGGGTGATAAACGGCCTAAGGTTATATGGAGATCCAATGCCAGCTCAATACTAGAGCCAAAAAAATATGGGTTTTAGGCCCCACATATAAAAAAGGCTCAAAAATTTTAGAATTCAATAATAAAGTATTGATCAAATATTAAAATTCATTATAATTTAATTTACCAATAATAACTTTTGAAAGATTATGTAAAAAAAAAATTAAAATTTACGTCCAAAAGTGCAATCCACCTCACACATACACATTTATTAAAAGATAAAAAATGTTAACACTTCGATAAAAAAATATAATAAATATCTCTCTTCCAAAAAAAACACCATTTATTAAACTCAATTTTTTTTTCATTTAAACACAAAAATACCAACTAATTAAATTGTTCATTCTCAAAAAGGATCCATAATAAAAACTAGTTAATATAAATAAAATTTCAATAATGTTTAATGGGCTTGTTTGGTTGTCATATTATAAATGGATGGATTTAATAAAATAATACAGTTTAATACAATACAGGTGAATAAAAAATAAGATTAAATATTGTATTAGAATTATACGTAATTTTATCTAGTGGTTGGTAATACAAAATATAAGCGTTGGATAGTAATTATTTAATCCAATCGGTTGTTTGGTTAGAAAATTATTTCATCGTATTAATGTTAAATTAACAAAAATATCCTCAATCAGTGTTTGTAATGACAACTTGATTTTATCACTTGAGAGGTTATAATAGTAAATATGTAAAATAATACGTTTGAGTTGGATTATAATATAACATCTCTTGATGGTATTAAAAAACATTCACAATACAAGTTGATCATAAAAAAAATATATGATAAGTATACAATTAATATACGTTTTTGAAATTAATACGGTATCAAATTTGCTTATCAAACAAAGTATTAGACCCGATTAAATAAAAAATAGTACAATATTTAATCCCCTCATAATATGTCTACCAAACGAGCCCAATATATATTAGATCCTAAATTACTAAAAAAAGAAAAATTATCTGATACTACATTGTAATATTGAACATCTTTGTTGTAATAGTAACATATAAACCGTCAATGATTGCATAAAATGTAAAATAATACATATATTTCTTTTAATCCTTGCGCATCATCCAGTAATCAATTTGTCTCACTTAATCAGTTTCATGGACGAAGACTTGACAGTGAAGGACGAGTAAAGACTACAATTGTTGCGCGATGCATAGATACTTCAATCTTTTAAATAAGAGAAAGCACAACAGAGCCGGCTCTAGGCGACCATTAAAATAGTTGCTTAGAGCCTAAAAAATTTAGAGATCCAATTTAATTTTTAGCCCTTTGCTTACCATCAAGTTCTGTGACCCTTTTGAAAGGACTAAGTTAAAGGTCAAATTTATTTTACAAGTTTATCTAAAATGTAATAATATTTTCACAAGTCTATGTAAATCTTTATAAAAAGTCCTAAAATATAATAAAGTATTCTAAAAAAAATCTAAAATTAATGACTTCCAGCTTTAAAAGTAACAATTTCTCTCAAATTTTTTTCATTAATTTTTCCTCCACTCTCACTGCTTCTCTCCAACTCTTTCTCTCCCTTCCAATCTCATTGTCTTGATATAATTTTTTGTCCGTATCTTTAGTTATATTGTTATTTCTTTAAAATTTTATTCAATTTATTCATTTGTAAGATCTTGACTTCACAATTTCACTCAATTTATTGTTTGATCCTGCTCGATCCTAAAACTACTAAAACTTTAAAAATAAATTATACCGTAAATTTTTGTAAAATATTTTCTCACTTTATGCCCTAATTTGTGGGCCGCCCTAGGAGATCTGTATGGGTTAGATGGATCTATCCTTCTACTGGTTTTCTGAAACTGAACAATGATGGGGCTGCAAATTAAAGAGAATCCAGGTGAGGCAGGTGGGGGAGCGGTGTTAAGAAATTAATGGGAGGAGTTGTGCTTGGGATGACAATGGACCAAAAAAAAATAGATATTCATCCAAATTTGTTCTGTTTGGATCAGAGCTGGACTATACGTATTGGACGGTAGACGTATACAAAGATACCTGTATAAACTCGTGCGAAAATGAAGGCGAGATACCTGTATAAACCCGTGCGAAAATGAAAGCGATGATACACTTACCCTTATCCCGCCCCACCTCGCCCCGCTGTACCAGTAAAATATATATATATATATACTCCCAAGTCAAAAGCCCTAAGTTAGTTTCCTTCCTCTTTCAGCCAGCCACCTCCATTGCTCTCAGCTTTGCCTCCTCTGCTGTTCGTCAACGCCAACTGCTCCTCACAGGTCAGTCATCTCACATACACAGACACTTGCTCACTGATGTATGTCCATAGACTTCAGTGATTTTAATGAAGTTTGTTTCCCTCCCCATCCCCTGGAATTCCAACGTACAGCTCGCATTACCAAATAGTTCCAACAAATCACATAGTTCTTGTTCAACGAGAATGAAAACTTATATCGACATCCCTTAGTAACGTAAATCAACTGCCTTGTAGGTCCCATTGAAGTTGGCTAGGAAAATTTTATGTTAAATCTTCAGTTCCCTCTTCACTCCTAGCACATATGAGCACTGAAGGTAGAAACTGCCTGCGACTGTGAAGAGGGTGCTAAGGCAGGATGAAATGCAGCTACCTAAAAGGATTGTTTTTGATGAAATGGATTAAATTGAAGTGCGGTGAAGAGCAGAATGCCTGGCTGGAGCATTTTGAAGGATTAAAGCCAAATTTTGATGTAATAAGGGTTTTCCCTCTTTTCTTGTAATACTTTGGTTTCATTCAATAAATTCTCCTTACTTTAAAAAAAAAAAAAATTAAAAAAAAGGGACTAAGGTACTCTAGTAAAACATGACTCATTTATAATACGAGATAGGTAGGTCCACCCATTTATTATTCTAATCAATTAATATTATTAGTTGAGCAATTAAGTCGTGTTTGATTTTATCAAACGTATTAAAAACTATGTTAAAATTGGTTACTCTATCCACGACTCTTCTAACTATCTAGATTTATTGATTTCAATCTCTTCTTATCTTTCTCCTTGCTGCCAATCTATACACGGATATTGTCAATGCAGACTCCTAGTAAATGAGTGAAGGGAGAGAAGGTTTTGCTATCCACCTCAATGGGACACACCAATGTTTGAAAAACTGTATGGTATTCATTAAATGTTTAGCAGAAAGTCGCTGGTGGCATGTGTACAAAACTCAGACTTCTATTTAGACTTTTACCTCTACCCACGTCAAATTTATATGTGACTCGTGCACAAAATTTATATTACTATTTAGGTTTTACCTTTACCCATATCAAATTTATTTGTGACACTTGTACAAAACTCATGTTCCTATGTAACGTTACGATTGAAACCCAACTTCCATGGATGTCCTTATCAATAATGCGCCAAAAAATTGAGATAGCTAACACTTTCCATAGATTTTGTATTTTCACCTTATGAATGCACCTATTTAAGGAAAATATTGAAAATATAAAACAAAAAACTGAAAGAAAAAGCTACAAACTCAACATTTATTAGCAGCTTGCCAAAAGGTAACTGTCCCCCTTGTTAGATGTTAAGGGTGCGTTTGATAATATTTTTGTTTTTGTATTTTTTAAAAAAATAAAAAATAAAAAACATGTTTGATAGTTATTTATGTTTAAAAATAAAGATAAAAATATGTTTGGTATTATATATTTTATTGTGGTTGTTTTAGTTAATATTTTAATCTCAAATACTTTCACCTCAAAATACAATTGGAAATGTAATTTTGCTGGGACACACACACATAGACGCAATGACACACACATACAGATCTATAAATATAAAACAACATATATGCAGATCTAATATATAAATATATATAAATCTATGGTTGATAAAGAGAGATGATGTCGAACGAACACACATGGCTAGCCCAGTAGGTAGGCAACTTCAATATTTGCAGAAGGCCCAAAAAAAAAGGTGCCCTAAATAATGTTATAGTCTTTGAGGATTAATATTACATATGACACCCAAATTTTTTTTAATAAACCCAATTAAATATATATTTATATCTATACTACTCATAAATATTAGCATATGTGAAAATTTTTTAATTTTCTATTTTATCCTTAATTATTATACTAAAGTCAATTATACTCACCTATATACTTTTATCTAATTTTTATTTTTTATTCTTATTTGAATTTTAACTTATTTTGGACTGTTTTATAAGGATTTCTAAATTCTTTTGAACTCATTTATTAGTAGTACAGATACATACAATTTTTTATATGTATATAAAGAAGTAAAGTCCTATATATGTTAAATTATTATGCATGTGTAACTACCAGTTTTAATTACACGGTCAAATATATATTATATTTTATTTTTTAGTATAAAATAATATAATAATATTATAAACGATCTAATCAATTTATTTAACAAAAGCAAAATTAATAATTCTATAATCTGATTAGATAGACAAATGACTAAAGGGATTAGAGAGAAATCTAAATAAATGAAAAATTAGTTATTCAAAAATTTATAATAAAATTAATAATTAATTTTAATAATAATTAAAATATGAATTAATTATTCGACACTTAATTTATTCTTTAATTTAATTACTCATATAATTCAAGTTTTTGACAAAAAAATATTATTTAAATTTGCTTACGTGTAACGCATATCGTGCATTGCTAGTTATAATAAAAGTCCAAGTAAAACAAAAAAAGTTCAAACTAAAATAAAAAATCAATCATTTTTCTCCTTTTAATCAATATTTTACTTCTTTTAGCATTTAGCAAAATAATACTAGAAAATATATGAAAAATAAAATTTTAAAATTTTACATGTATTTATTTAGCATGAAATAGAAAATGATAAAAAAAATAATTTTCTTTCATATTTAGATTTTCTCACATTTAACTAACTTTTTTCTTGCAAAAAATACAAGAAAAAGTAAGAAAGTTGTGTTCAAAGACGAAACTTCTCATTGTACTCTTATTTTAAAAAAATATGCAATTAGTTATTAATTTTAAAAAACTTGTACAAATTAGACTAATCATATAATTTGGTCTAGAGATCAGGGTTTGAGTCGGTTCTTATCTCTGAGTTAAATTATGAGCCAATTTTTTAAAAATTTGAATAATAAAAAAAAATTATTCTTTAGATCAAGTTAAAATAATTAGGGATAATTTAGACAATTAGAAAAAATTAATTGTAATTTTCATTTATTTCAAACAATGGAATAAAATTATTTTAAAATTTTGTTAGAAGTTTTTCATGCTTACCAAATGCATGCGTGAAAATATATTTTTTTCACTTTCTTTTCTTTTACTTCACTTTTTATCTCTTTTATTTTTCATCATTTTTTTCTTGCTAATCAAACAAACTTAGTAAACTCTCTAAGAATCTCTCTCTCTCTCACACACACACACATTAAAAAATTGTAGGTAGGCATCTCTCTCTACTGTAATCTTTTTTTCAAAATTAAAACTTAAAAAATCTTACTTACGATCTCTATGTCACAAAAAAGATTGAATGAATTAACCCTATTATCCTTTGAAAACAATATATTATCAAAATTTAAATGTAAAAACTTAATCACAAAATTTGTGGCTCAAAAAGTGAGAAGAATGATTTTTAAATAAAGTATTAATTATATAATATATTTATATAAATTTTAAAAGGGCCCATTTAAAGGTTTTGCATAGGGCCACATTTACATCGAGCGAGCCCTGTGGACACAGTCGATTTTGTGTTCTTCTTCGCCTGAGATGATGTCGTGTTCATCTAAGATGAGGAGCTTCGTCTTCGTCAGACCCAGTGGATTTGTGTGAGAGAGAGAAACACACACACGAGAGACGAGTTAAGGGAAAATGACGGAAAAGAAGAAATGAAGAGGAAAAATGATTTTTATAGTCGGCACAAAAAAAATCCTTATTTTGTAGCTAATGGGATTTGAACGAGGAACCTCATTAACCGAGGGGGCTGCACGTGCGTGTTTTCAGTTTTGGATATTTTTTAAAACATCTTTTTTTTTGTTTATAGTTTTGAGGCTTGTTTTCACACCAACTTATCTTAAAAAAACAAAAATACATTTCAAATGCATTATTATTATAATTATAAAACAAAAACCATGAATCAAAAAAACGAATCAAACACACCTTAAGATTAAAGGTTCAACTCCCCTCGTTTCTCTATTTCGTATTAGACCAAAACTTTAGAAAAGGCCAAAAAAAACCTAACAATCCTACCACAAGACCCGCTCAAAACAAGAGGTTAAATCCCGTCTGCCCTCACAAACTCAACCGCTCTCTAACATACAAAAGTAACTAATCTAAATCTTTCAAACTAAAAATAGTAGTTTTCTTTTTTCGAATAATAAAAACATAAGATTCCAAAATTCCAAAAATAGCACATACCACCCTATAAAATACCCTCACACCCCCCCCCCCTCCCTCCTCAAGGCTGCACACACACAAAGGCAAGATTCGGTAACTACTCTCTCCTTTCTTGAGTTTAGTTGCCGATCACCACCTTCGTTCGCCATGGAAATGAAGAAGGTCGCATGTGCAGCCCTCGTCGTCGCCGCCGCCTCCATAAATGCGGCAATGGCTGCTGACGCTCCAAGCCAGGCTCCTGCACAGTCCAGTAACGCCGCCACCATGCCAGCCGCCGTGTCGTTGGTTGGGGCCTCTATCTTGTCATTCTTCGCTCTCTTCATGCACTAAACTTAAAGAGAGGAAGATGGTGGAAGAGAGAGAAAGTAAAAGAGGGAAATAAGAATGTGTTTGTGATTGTGTGCTTGAAATTACGTCCCATCTTTCTATGTTTTTTTGGTTTGTTCTCTTTCTTATGTTTTGCATGTAACAGACTCATTTGTATCAATTGATACAATGCAATAAAAGAATTGTTCAATACATAGTTTCAAAACATATTATCTCAGGATGGGTCTTGATGAACATGATTTTATTCTTGTTATTTCATAATTATCAGCCATATTTGCATAGTATTTATTGTTTTCTTGTCATCTACGATGTAATTTTTATATGAGAGGCTATGGTTTTAAAGGTAATATTTGCATATGTTACACGCGGCAAAATGGCCCAAGGCCCGGTCCTTTGGCCTAACAAAACCTTAAAAATAAATAAAACTATGTCCTTCTAAAAAAAAATCAAAAATTAAAAACATCCATTAGGGACTGACTTGATTGATAATCTGTCAAGGACTCATTACGATTGACTCAATAAACAGGTTATAACCCCGATAGTTAATCTAATGAAGATAAGGATGAGCTGTAAACTTAAATATCTTAAATTCGAAACTTATCAATTCTCTTAAGGACAAGTCATAATTGATGGGACCTACCAAAGGCCCAACTCGGGGCCCAACCTTGTCAAGGCCAAAAACGGATAGTGGGCCCGACCCAGACAAAGCCTAACTTGGACAGTGGATCCGGCCCAAAAGAGACTCAAATCAATTCAAGCTCACCAAAACCCCGCAGCCACGTTATCCTAGAGCGAAGGAGTCAGCGACGCCATCCTAGAGCCTTATCCACGCCATCCTAGAGTGAGGAGGTCTGCCACGCTATCCTGGGACCTTATCTTGAGAAGATCCCCACGCACTCTCAGCAACTGCCTCTCCTATTACGAGGATAACGTCCACTCCACCAAATCAGTCTTTTTGTTACTAATAAGGTGTTTCAATCTGTTATGAAGTGCTTATAAATTGTAAGTCCTGCCTATCCATTGGGGCATCTCTCTCATCTTGTATCTCGTCTATTATTCACACTTGAGCACTCAACACTTTTTGAAGCAATAAAACACTCAAGTCATCCTAACCCTTTGTAGTGGAGTAAGTCACTTTAATCGAATCACTTAAATTGTGTTTTGGTTATGTTGACTCTCTCCTTATTTATTTACTACATTAATTACTTGACAGGTGGTGCATAAATCTACTTTTGTGCATCATCAGTTTGCCGCCGTCTGTGAGAAACGACTAAGTTTTCTACTGTCTTTCTATCATTTCCTATTTTCTTTCCATTTTATGGCTATTACAATTAGGTCCATGAATCAACAAACGGAAGAGAATGATCCACCACATCGCGATGAGGTCCTGTCTCCACCAGTAAACCCCATCGTTGCAGCAAATCCCGTAGCCAGATAACAACTACTGAAGACAAAGCAGCTGTTGATAAACCAAAATCAGCAGATCCTCTGGTTGATACTTGTCGGACACCCTCAAAGAGTTATGCATCAACCCCAAAGAGGAGAAGCACCATAGGCAATCCACTCCCAACGCCAAGGCACCCAGCACCAGGGCACCCCCTTGCAGCCCCAGGACATCCCTCCTCAACGCCCAGGTGCCCAGGCTCCTCCTCATGTGCCGGTTCCGTCCTCCTGCGCTGGTGACCCTACTATGCACGAAGACAAGGGAGAAAAACAATACATGGACCATAAAATTCACTACAATGGTCCTTCAGATGGTGTCCCTAACCAATGGAACGAAAAAATCAAGAAGGTGCAAAATTAGTTAGGCGACGTCGTCAATGCCATCAAGGCTCGGTCATCGGAAACAGTCGACTACCTTGTGAGGCGCACTGACACTCCATTCGTAGCTAATGGGGCCAACTACCCTCTCACTCCAAAGTTCAAGATGCCAATCGTGGAAGTTTTTAATGGCTTCAAAGATCCACTGGACTACCTTAACACCTACAAATCCTTGATGCACTTTACAACATATCAGACAAGATCATGTGCAGGGCTTTCCTTACCACTCTCAAGGGATCTGGTCACCAATGGTTTGCCAAGCTTATACCCAGACTGATTAAATCTTTCGCTGAACTAAGCAAGTTTTTTGTCTTACACTTCATTGGGGGACACCGACACCAGAAACCTACCACTCACCTGTTCAACATCAAGCAAAATCGGGATGAAAGCCTAATGAGTTACCTCACTCGTTTTAACGAGAAAGTCCTCCAAGACAAAGTCGTCATGGCAGCCTTCACAAAAGGGTTGTGCTTATTTAGTCTTATATTTTTAGTTTTAAAGCGCCATCCAAAGAACATGCTAGAATTATTATCAAAAGTCCAAATATACATGAACGTTGAGAATGTCATCAAAGTCAGACGAGTTGAGTCCTCCTGTAGAGGGGAATGCAAAAAATAGAAACTACCAACCACCAGCTAGGTGCACAACGCCAACGCCCAGCCAAGTGCCAAAAACCAATGCCTAGCGTCCCAACACCCACGGCACCTACGCTCGTGGTGCCCAGCACCCTCATCTGTGGAGCCCAACTCCACTGCCCACGTGTCCAACGCATGCACACATACACCTGCACCCATGTGTCTGCATTTGTGCGCTTGCACATGCATACGTACAGTGGTTGCGCCTGCACCTGCACCTGCACTGCCTGTTGCATCGCGCGTACCCAACTCTTTAAGTAGTTCCCCCTAGCGCCTGCCTCCTCTCATCTGGACCCCTTTCCTCAAGCACTCGTACCTCTCGTTCCTGATGCCCACGCCTATTGGTTTTGTCCTCCTCCGTAACTCTTCACTGCCCTCACCAGCGTGCGTCTCATGTCGCTGGCGCCCTCTGGCTACCCTTATTGTCGTCTCTTTCCTCTTCCCCGTCTCTTGAGAAAGAGGCTTCTAAGTCGCCATAAGCTCAACCTAACTCTGTCTATGCTCTCGTGCAAGCAGCTTGAATCTCCAGCTTAGCGGCACTTTCGAGAGTCGCCAAAAGCTTAGCCTCACTTTGACTCTACTCTCACGTAAGCAACCATAGTCTCCAGCTTAGCAACTTTCTTGCAGAAGCTTGGCCAAACTCTTTTTTTGCTCTCATGCGGGTAGCCTCACAGTCAGCCTACCTCAAACTTAACGGTTCTCTCGCGGGTCGCCAAAAGCTCGGTCTCAAGAGGTGCAACTCCCTCACGGGCAACCCTCAAACTCTGCCTCTGTTCTCATGCGGGTAACCTTACAGTCAGCCTACCTCCAGCTTAACAGTTTTTTCGTGGGTTGCCTAAAGATCGGTCTTAAGAGGTGCAACTCTTTCATAAATAACCCTCAAACTCTGTCTCTGCTCTAGTGCGGGCAGCCTCACAGTCAACCTACCTCCAGGTTAGCGGCTCTTTCGCGAGTCGCCAAAAGTTCGGTCTTAAGAGGTGCAACTCTCCCATGACCAACCCTCAAACTCTCCCTCTACTCTCACGCAAGCAACCTACCCACAGCTTAGCGGTTATTTCTCTAAAGCCCGATGTATCTACCTCTCTCATCAAATAATCATGTTGAATATTTTGATGCTAGAGTAACATTGTTTTTATCTTCTCCAGGCACGCCCTTGGAACTCAAGTCGCCTACAATCAAGCACCCAGCTTCTGGAGCCCCTTCTTGGTGCCCAACTTCTAACAGCCCCTCATGTGCCCTCCCATTTGCCCTGTCTGCACCCTCTGTCACTACCTCGATGCCCGTGCTAGACCCGGTGCTTGTGCCCTCCACCACAGCGCCCGTCACTGTCGTCGCCGCTTTGGTGCCTGTATAGCCCCAACGCCTATTACCCCAAGCACCCTCGTACACGCCACCCAGATCAGCGCTCGTTGTGCCTGCGGCACACACCCTAACAATATATGCACCTACCTCGCTTGCGGCATTTGTGTCTGCCCGTGCTAGCAGCGCCCACCCGTGCCAAAAGTGCCCGCATCCACCACGCCTGTGCCTGTGGCACCAACTATCGCTGTCACCCTGGCTCCAACCTGTGCCCATTACCCTAGTTGCCTACCTTTTCATCGACATCTACCTATCGCTCATTACGTAGGTGCAGGCTACCTACCTCCTCACCAATGCTGGTAGCCTCTCACAATTCTCTTATCCCTACTGCGCCACCCTCCTTCTATCTCCCACCACCCTGCTTAGGGATAGCCCAACCTGCTTTTGTCTGCTTGCCACAACTACTTGAAATCTCTTCAAAGATTTCTCTCTCAAGTGATAGGTTAGGATAGAGATTTCCTAATCAAAAGGGGATGATTAGAAGGACAAGCCATATTAAAAAGGAAAATGTCATCAGTCAAGAAAAGTCTTCATCAACTAGAATTCAAGCTCAACTAATGCCCACTCCTCCAAATCTTATTAAACTCGACACATGGGGGCAAATGATGAGCCCGACCCTGCCAAGGCCCAACTCAAGTAGTGGGCCTGACCCAGAAAAGGCCCAACTCAAACAGTGGATCCAGCCAAAAGAGACCCAGATCAAGTCCGGCTCACTAAAGCCTCGACAGTCACGCCATCCTAGAGTAAAAGAGTTAGTAACACCATCCTAGAGCCTCATTCGCGTCATCCTAGAGTGAAGAGGTCTACCACGCCATCCTAGGACCTGGTCTTGAGGAGATCTCCATGCGCTCTTAGCAACTGTCTCACCTGTTGCGTGGATAACGTCAACTCCACCAAATCAACCTTTCTATTACTGATAAAGTGTCTCCATCTGTTAGGAATAGCCTATAAATTGTAAGCCCCTCCTATGCATGGGGGCATCTCTCACATCTTGTATCTTACCTATTACTCACACTTGAGCACCCAACACTCTTTGAAGTAATAAAATACTCAAGTCATCCTAGCCCTTTATAGTGGAGTAGGTCACCTTAATCGAACCACTTAAATTATGTTTTACTTGTGTTGACTCTCTCCTTATTTATTTACTACATTAATTGACTTGATAGGTGGTGCATAAATCCACCTTTGTGCATTATCAATGATCACGAATTCATCCTTCATAAATTCTTAGTCCCGGTATAAATAATCTATCTTTAATTGGACCGAGAAAGAATTTAGGCAATGTGCGCATAACCTGGTCTAGAGACATAGCCAAGCCTTGGTCATCCCCCCCCCCACCCCCCAAAAAAAAAAAAAATTCTAGAATTATTCTTTATAGCTCTAAAATTAGCCTTCTTAATTTGAAAAATTATGCTTCAACCCAAAAATTATATTCTTGTTTTTCACTTTACATGGTCCTCAAGTTATTGAAGTTATATTTTACATCCTTAAATTGTGATCTTGGTTTTACTTTCCCCCTCCTCAACTATTGATTTAAATGCATTACACCCTTAAGTATTCAAAATAGTATCGTGAACCGTATTAATCCAAAATGTGTAACACAAAATAAAATTTTAAAAATTCATGCAAAAATTTAGCAATTTGAATGGTAATGGTGAAATAATTTCAATTTAATAATAGAAGAAAAAAGATGAAATTAAAAATGAAATATGATTTAGTCATATGATTTTTTATTGATGTATTCCATTATATATGAAATCAAAAGAAAGGGATAAAGATTAAAATTAAAAATTATATATATTTTGTGATACTTATCTGTATATAGAAGTATTCCTAAAGTATTTATATATTTTATTTATCATTAGATGCACGTTTGATGTGTATCGAATACAGATACATTGAATTTAATAAAATATTCGTTTAAATGTAAAAACATTAGAAAAAGTCAAGAAAAACCTAAACAATCCTAACAAAAAACCTGCTCAAAACAGGAAGTTGAATCCTCTCTGTCCTCACAAACTCAATCGCTCTCTAACATACGAGTGAATAGTAACCACTAATCTAAATCTTTCAAGCTAAATATAGTAATTTTTTTCCCAGATAATAAAAACATTAAATTTCAAAATTCCAAAAATAGCACATTCCACCCCTTTAAATACCCTCCCACCACCACCCCTCCCTCCTCAAGGCTGCACACACACAAAGGCAGGATTCGGTAATTAATCTCTCGTTTCTTGAGTTTATTTGCCGATCACCGCCTTCGTTCGCCATGGAAATGAAGAAGATCACATGTGCAGCCCTCGTCGTCGCCGCTGCCTCCATGAGCGCGGCAATGGCTGCTGACGCTCCAAGCCCGGCTCCCACACAGTCCAGTGACGCCGCCACCATGTCGGCAGCCGTGTCTTTGGTTGGGGCCTCTATCTTATCCTTCTTCGCTCTGTACAAGCACTGAACTTACAGAGAAGAAGATGGTGGAAGAGAGAGAATGTAGAAGAGGGAAACAAATAAGTGTTAGTGGGTGTCTGCATGGAATTATGTCCAATCTTTCTATGCTTTTTTTTGGTTTGTTCTCTTTCTTTGTTTTTTACATGTTAGAGACTCATTTGTATCAATTTGATACAATGCAATAAAAGAATTGTTCAATATACATAGTTTCAAAACATATTGTCTCAAGGTGCTAAGAGCACCTTAAGGTAATTTGAGATCTAAAACTATAAGATTGAAAGAGGTCTTTTTATTTTTACTATCAAATTTTTTTTAAAATTAATTTATTTTAAAATTTCCATATGTGTGTGAGAGAGAGGGAGAATGTGTTACAATTAACAGAGAATGAGAAGGAGGGTCAATGTTGTCGAGAGAGATGTTTTAATTTTTCCTTTATTTTTTATCAGAGAGAGAAAGAGAATATAAATGTGTGGAGATAAATATTAATTGACTTTTGAATATATATTTTTTGTATTTTTTTTAGATTGAATCATGGACTAAAATTATTGAAATTAAATTTTTTTATAGGAGCCCCGTGATAGGGTTTAAAATTTTGATATGGGTTAATTATATAACTAAAATTATGAAGCCTAAAACCCAGACTTTAGCAGCTATAAAGTTGGACCGCCCTGAAGAGTGGGTCTTGAACATAATTTTATTCATGTTATTTTATAATTATCAACCTTTTGGGCATAGTAAATTATTGTTTGCTTGTCATCTACAATGTAATTTTTATATGGGAGGTCTATGGTTTTTAATGTCAACTGATGCATATGTTACATTAGCAGGTGTAAATCGTGTCACACGGTGCGACCAATTTATAATGGGTAAAATAGAAATCGGTATAAAAATTTTGATTTAATTGAGTTAAACTATAATAGGGAAAGTTATATGGGTAAAAGTATATTTTTTAAGAAAACGACCAAAATGTCATTCATTAAAAGGAAATAAGATCAAATCCCATTTAGATGCCAAATGACAATTTCGGCCCCAATAAATAATCAAGCTGGCAAAAAAAAGCATTGAACTGAGTGTCCCTTTGTCTTCAACATTTTTGAGATTCGAATGAATTTATAAACAGATTCTAAAAATCGTATTAAAAAATAATCGTTTTTATCTAACCTTATTGTAGATCAAAATGGATTTTTTTTTAAAAGAAAGGAGAGAAGAAGAGATTTTATTTTCTTGTAACTGTTCGGTAGTTTGATTTAGTGTAACTGTTCTCCGTACATTGATGTTCACCTTCAAGGTTTTGACCCCGGTTTTTTATGGTTAGTTTTCAATTTTTTTTATTTTGGCAATTTCTATTTGAAGAATCCAAACTAAAATTAAAAAACACTAACAATTTTAAATGAAAATAAAAAAATTGGATTCTTTTATGTTGAATGAATATAAAAAAAAATTAATTTAAAAAAACACAAATTTTTAAGGAAATTTAGAGGTCGGTCTCCCTATATAGACTTATTTGGAGATAAGTTTGGTAAGGAAACTTATTTGATTTTAAGTCCAATTTTTTATCAAGTTTACTATTGTACCCCTACCATTTGGAAAAACAATAACTGACGTTTGACTTATCGTCTCATTTATATGAGTTAGATCGTTGAGGTATATATGAAAATTCTTGATTGAGTTATATACGAAAATCGTTTATTAAATATTATAATAATTAACAAAAAATTTATATAAAAATTATATATTCTGATAATTATATATGGTAGCTTGATGTACGAATAAATTGTTGATCTATTAAATCAACATCAGATTACAAAATTTTTTAACAATTCAAAATTTTTTTAACATTACTGTTATTATAGTGATACTAATTTTACTATAGTGGCACGAATGTTATTATAGTGATACGAATGAAATTGTTTTTCTTAAAATATTCAATACCCAAAATGAAGAATTCCACAATTTTTAATAGTAACACAAACTCAACTCCAATTTTTACTTACAATACCAATTGCAAACCTTTAGTCGTATATTATGTAATATACACATTTAATTTTCATAGTAACATTAAAAATTTGTGCTCAGTAAAACATCAACTTTTACAAAATAAAAGACAATAGGGTTTTCACAGTAACATCAATTTTTGAAAGATTATAGTGAAAATACGATCCACAAATTAAAATTTTATAAAATTTCTAGTAATAACACACCGTTAGCAGTTGAATTAGGAAAGTCAACTCCAATCAAGAACATCAAAACATCAAAATTCTGAAATCTATTTTCCAGTTATCGCATAATAATATGATCTATTTTATAGACACACAACCAAAATATTTCGAATGTCTTGTACGGCAAAGAAGACAACAAAATCAAATTATATAACACTTGAATTTAGTAATAATGAATCTCAATTTTTAAATTATGAATGCAAAAAAAATGAACAATTTGAACTGTATATTATGTAGAAATTTTTTAAAATCTTATAATGAATATCAATTTTTATGTAAAATCAAATGTCTTGACTCTATTTCTGAATTTCTGGTGAAGATGTTTTGAACGCAAAGAATGTAACTTTGTCAATAGCCAGCATCATTCCAGGAGGGGAAGGCTTAATAAACCTCTGTAGACCTCTTGCTCGTTCCATTCAACTACTTTTTCTTCTCTCTCCTCAAATTGAGACCAAAAATGGCTGCCAC